AAAAAGTGTTACCAGAGACAAACAGGGACATTTCTTCCTATTGACAAAAAGGTCAATTCAACTGAAAGACATAGCTATTTTAAATGTGTCTGCCTAATAACAGAGCTTCAAAATATACTAAGCAAAACTGATGGAAACCTAAGAACTAATTTCATTTATAATAATATTAAAAACTTAAAACACTTTTAAATTTAACAAAATACCTGCAAAACCTTTACATTGAAAACTGCACACTTTGGAAGGTCGAGGTGACAGGATTGCTTCAGGCCAGGAGTTTGAGGTCAGTCTGGACAACATAGCAAGCCCTCATCTCTACAGGGAAAAAAAATATATACAAAATTTAACCAGGCTTGGTGGCACTTGCCTGTAGTCCTAGCTGCTTAGGAGACTGGAACAAGAGGATCACTTGAGCCCAGGAGTTCAAGGCTGCAGTGAGCTATAATCACACCACTGCACTCAAACCTGGGTGACAGAGAAAGACCCTGTCTCAAAAATACAAATACAACTTACACAACACCTCTGAGAGAAATTAAATAGATCTAAATAACGGAAGAGCTATACCATGTTTATAAATTGAAATAACATTTTTAAGATGTCAGTTCTCCCCAATTTGATCTATTGATTAAATGCAATCCCAGTTAAAATTACAGCAGATTCTCAAATGTATGTAGCAAAGCGACATATCTAAAATAACCAAAACAATCTTCAAAAAGAAGAGCTAAGTTAGAGAACTCTAAATTCAAGACTTATAAATCTATAATAATCAAGACAGTGTGGTATTGGCATAAAGGTAGAAAATATGTTAGTGGAATAAAGAGACCAGAAATAGATCCACACATATATGGTCAATTGATTTTTTGCAGATTTACTAAGACAAGATAATGGGAGGGAAAAAACCTTTTCAATGAATGGTGCTGGAACAACTGGATAAACATATGGACAAAAATAACTTCAACTCCTACACTGTACCACGCCCAAAAGTCAGCATGAAATGAATCAGATCTCTAAATGTGAAAGCTAAAGAGATATAGGAGAATATTTTTACAAATCAAGTAAGCCTGCTAAACTGAGAAGTCAGAGCATGAACAGGACTGGAATGTTAACCACATGGGAAAGAGAGCAACTGCAGTGAAGGGAAATTGGTTACACATGGGGAAATTGATCAAATAATAAACAAAAGAAAATGGGAGTCCAATTTTTCACTACCAAAGAAAACTCTAATGAACTCTGTGGTGTGCTAGATTGGAACTGGTGGCATTGGTGGGAACTAATAGGCTTCAATATATAGATAGATAAATATGGAAGTCAAGAATATATTTGAGCTGGGCTCGGTGGCTCAGCCTGTAATCCTGCGCCTTTGGGAGGCTGAGGTGAGTGGATTGCCTGAGCCCGCGGGTTCGAGACCCGCCTAGGCAGCGAGACCTCATCTCTACAATAAATTAAAAAATCAGCCGGGCGTGGTAGCAAACTCCTGTAATTCCGGCTACTTGGAAGGCTGAGGCGGAAGGATCACCGGAGCCCAGCAGGTCGAGGCTGCGGTGGCCGGGAGCGGCCACTGCACTCCAGTCTGGGTGACCGAGTGAGACTCCGACTCAAAAAACAAACAAACGAATACATTTGTGTGTATGCACGTATGTGTGTGTATTTCATTCCCTGTCTTTCCATTACTGAAAAGACCTGAGAATACTAATTCCAAATAGCAATGGGCACACCTAATTCTCAGATCTTTGTTTCTGAAGGCCATTCTTCACTAAATGGGCTAAGTGCTTCTTGGAGAAACAGCGAAGTTAAGGGCTGGGGCAGAGAACGTACACAACGAGTCTGGAATATCTTATGCTGGAAATTGAGGCAGTGTACAATAGATTATAGAGGCATATCAAAGGTCAAAGAAGCCAGCTAGCAAGGGACTCCTTCTGCCAAATTTGGGACAATGTGGGTGTCAAATAAATAATAATCAAGGGATTGTAACCCAGTGAATAAAATGCAAAGGCAAGAGTCCATGGGGATTTGATATATTAATGAATAAGCTAAAAGTATGATGAGAAATGAGATGTCTATATGATCCCTAAGAAACTTCTAACAAAATACTTATTGACTGCAGTGAAAAAATAAGCAACCTTAGAGTGGAGAAAGCTTGCAGACACCCCCTTAATCCAGTGATGAAAGTCAACAGCATCAGTTACAGAAAAATTGGAATCCTGTGTCACCTGTTAAGATGCAATGAAAAGAATGCAGCTTTGCTTCTGTGATATTCTTGTCAAAGATGCATGAGTTTAATGATGGGAAACATCAGACAAACCCACACTGAGAGACGTTCTACATAATAGCTGGCTTGTAATCACCAGAAGTATCAAAGTCATGAAAATCAAGGCAAGATTGAGAAATTGTTCTAGACTGAAGAAACTAAAAGCATACAATAACTAAATGCAATCACTAATTCTGAACAAAATTATTTTGCTGAGATGAACATTACTAAAAGATGGATGAAACTTGAATGGGTTCTGAGAATAGGATAGTAATAATATATCAATGCTGATTTCTTGATTTGATGGTTGTATTATAGTTATGCAGGAGAGGATCCTTCTACAGAGGAAATACACACTAAAGTGTTTGGGATAATTGGGGCATTGTGTTGGTAACTTATACTCAAATGGTTCAGGAAAAATGTCTTTGTATTATAATTACACACTTTTTGTAAATTTGAAACTGTTTCAAGAAAAATATTGTATGGAAAATGGACAGTGTCAGATCACACCCCCTTCATGCATATGTTTGGCCTACAGATGTGGGCCCCTCCTTCAGCCTCTGCCAGGCTCTACAGTGGGGCGTGTTGCAGGACCAGCCTGAGGAAGCAGACCCCACTTTCTGAAGCTGGAATGACATCGAAGGGTACCTTCCCTTACCCTCTCAGAACAGGATATGAGTGTCTCTGAAATTCCTTTTCTGGAACTTAGTCTGTCACCTCAGAATGAACTTCTACTCTTTTAGAGGGCAGAATGAGCTCACAACTCTTAAAAAGGTACCGGATGTGGGGGTGGGGATGAGCAGTACCTGACAGAAGGGAATAGTCACAGTCGGTCACAGGTGACTGCAGATGTGTTGGTCACTCTCCATTTGCACTCCTGCCCTTACCTCCACCTCTGTCCTCTCTTCTCTCCCCTGCTCTTTCTTCCAGGAGGCTGATTCCACAAAGGGCATGGCCCAGTGCCCTCGCCATCTGGCCTCTACTTGGCTTCTGCTGATGGGAGCGGGGCAGGATGGGAGAGTACACTGGAGGGAAAATGGCCATGGTGTTTCCTCCCCTGCCCACTCCTGCTTTGGCACTGCTGTCCTGGCAATGGTGTCACTCCTGCGGGGACACTCCTTCACGCTGCCAGCTCTTACGAGGTTCTGCAAGAGCTCACCCCCTTCTCTCCTTTTGCCCTCTCAAGCCTGGGGGCTGTGATAGCTTTCCTAGCACATAAGTTTTAGGAACATGCTTTCTCACAATGAAAGACAAAAGCTAAGCAATCTGTATCTGGTGGTCCTCAGAAAAGAGCTAACTATGCTGCATAAGAGCCTTCCTTTTGTGCAAGAAGTGGCTTCAAGTTAAGTGTCATCCAGAATCAGTTCACATTGCTTTATGTTATGGGAAAACTGTGAGTGCAGATGAAGAAATGATGAAGGTGTAGGGGGTGGTATGACTATTCAATATACTCGTGGCCTCTCTCTGAGGGAGGATGGCAAACCCCAAACTGGATGACACATGGCCTGAACTGCAAGGATGAGGAGCGGGCGCGATGGGCCCCCGCTTGGCAGACACTGCGGGAGTCACTTCACAACTAGCTCATCTTCCCTTCCCTTGGCCATGACACCAGCACTGTCCCAGGAGCTCGGCTGACCTTCAGCCTGGGTTCCAGGGTGGAGAGGATGAGGAGCAGAGCCCACCTGAGATATCGTTTTTCTGTTATAAACCACTGAGATTTTACACTGTCCCCACATACATGGGTGTGGGTGGGAGTCATTCTCAGGTCTACAGTCATCTCGGGGAACTAGAAAAAGGAAGGCCCAAACTTTCAGTTCAGTTTCCTACATGAAGCTTGACTGAGTGGCCACTCTGGGGTTCTGACTGCTGTGCTCCAGGGAAACCAGGAGCCAGAAGGCCCAGGCCCTGCCCCACAGAGCTCATACCCCAGTTCAGTGAGACACACTCGCTCAGGTGTTTGCACCATGTGGCCCGTGGTTGGGTGTAGGGCAATGCGACAGGATTATTTCCATGTAGGTGAGTGGTCAGGACGGGTTATGGAAATCACTGTGATCTGAGATGGACCTGGAGGGACAGGTAGGGTTTTGACAGGCAGGGATGGAAAATGTGTAGGCAAAAGCCCCACGAGGATGTGCGCTGCAGGAGTGGAAGGTGGCCCTGGCCAGAAGGGTCTGGAAAGTGCGAGCAGTTATGGGAAGTGAGGCTGAAGAGGGAGCTGGAAGCTGGAGGCCAGGCCAACGTAGGCCCTCAAGCAAGCGGTCTGCGCTTCCATTGGATAAACAGTAGAGAATGCTCCACGTACTCGGGTGTTCTTTCATTTGTCCAACAAAAATGCATTGAGTGCATACCTCTGCCAGGTATGGGAGCTGGGCTCACAGGCCAGCAGGGCAGGCCCCCTCCCAGGCAGGCACTGCCTCCCTGGAGGGTTCTGAGCAGGAGCACTCACACCCAGGGGCTCCAGCTCCAGAGGACATGCAAACTGCAAGCCAGTCCCAGCTAGAGGGCCAGGCCTTGGCTAGGTGTGGCAGTGGGGAGGGGTCACATCAGAGGACAACATGCTTGGCAGAGTCAGTCACAGAAGGGATCCCCTTGCCAGGGCAGCCAAGTGCCCCAGCAGCAGACACAGGGGAAGAAGTGTCCCCATCCATGTCTGGGATGGAGGGATGGGTGAAAAGGATTTAGAGAGGACGAGGGAAGCCAGGAATCAGAACAAACCCCCAATCCTTCCTCCAGTCCCCGCTGCTGCAGGCCCCTGTCACTGGCCAGAGTGGTCAGGGGATTCATGCCCAGAACTCCTCTGATCTTCGTGCCTGTAGTCTTCCTCCTCTTTCCTCCCACTGGAAAACTCTTTCAGCTGCTCCAGCGGCTCCTGGTAGTCTGCCCGGTTCCTGCAGGACAGGGAGGACAGAGGAAAGGATTTGCTTTCAGTTGGACCCCTAAAGGGAGCTAGGCCTCGTGCACATTGTAGGAAGAGCAGGCCTGCCATTCCCACCCCACCGACAGCAAAGGAACACGAGACTGAGAGTGGACAGGAAGGGGCCACAGACTTGATCCACTAATGAGCTGAGGGCATTACTGGAACAGGCTGGGTCCACTAATCAAGAGAGGCAGCCTGTGACAGAGGCTGCAGCCTGCACGTGTCTCTGGGCATGCCATGGGAAGCCCAGTCTTGAGGTCCCAGATTGAAAAGCCACAGGCCTCAGAGACAAGTCCTGGGACTGCAGTGCACACACTGTGACCTGGGCAGGTCACTGTCTTCTCAGGCGCAACATGGAGTGACGTCCCTCAGGGGCATTGCAAGTGGAAGAGGCTGTGAGGAGTAGGGAGGCCGACCTCTGATCTTCTCAGACCCTCCCACAGGCTCCCCACCCCGACACTCACGGCCTCGCGTCCTCCCCGTCCTCAGCCTTGTTGTTCCCCCGGCAGCAGCAGCAGTAGATGATGATGCCAAGGACAATGAGGGCCGCCGCCACACCTCCCGCGATGCCCGCATACAGGGCCACATTCATAGAGGCTGCAAGAGGACAAGGCAGCTGCATCTCCCCAGCCTCGGGACTACCCCCAGTCCTCCTCCCAACCCAGAAAACCACAGCTGCTGGCTTCTGGTCACACTCCATGAAAGGCATGGTCTTGTGGGAATGTGATTGACATAGCCAGAACACTCTTCAGGTTGGAGGCACAGACAAGGACAAATCGACCAATAGCTCCACATCTCAACACTCTCTGTGTTACCCAGGTTCTGAGAAAGTCCTTTGGTATCAGCCTAGCCAGTTCCCCGAGCTAGACGTGGCAGACTGCGTGGCAGCTGACTCCAGGCACTTCCGCCATGCTCACTGAGTGGCCCTCGGGCAGGCAGGACTTAGGAAGACTCCAGGAGTCAGTGCTAGGCTCCACTTCCAAAGTGCCAGTGGAATTGGCCTGGCCTCCATGGGCGGGGAGCCTGGGACAGGAGTCCCCTGCCTGGGTCACTGCAGTTATCTGCTGGCAGGTGACCCTAAAGAGACTCCTCAAATCATCTCCATGGCGGCCTCAGGTGACCCTCTGGGCCCAGCCAATCATCTTGCCTTTGTCAGCCCTCCCTCCCCAGACTGCTCTTACGAGGTCTGACGGACACGGTGATGTTGCAGGACTCGACCCCCACGTTGTTGGTGGAGGTGCAGATGTAGTAACCTGACATGTCTGTGGAGATGTTCTTCAGAAGGACGGGCTGGCCTGACACTGGAGGGAAGAACAGGCAAGGTGAGGAGAGGGGAGACAGCCCGGAATTAGGAGGCTAGGCCTCCCCGGGAGGTGCACCTTCTGCCACCAAGCTTCTCTCAGCCACAGTCACATCTACGAGGGGAAGAGAATCTCCCTCCTAGGACTGTGGGACAATTAATTCAGGCAGGACGCATGACACTGCAGCGCTTGGAATCTGGTCAGGCACCCTGGGCGGATTCTGGGCTCTGCTGCTTATTAATGTGGCACCTTTGACAAGTACCTCAGCTTCACTCAACCTTTATTTCTCCCTCTATAATTGGAAATAATAGTACCTGCCTCACAGGGTACTTGTGAGCATAAAATGAGGCACTATTAACAAGTATAAGCCCATGGCAAAAGGCCTGATGTTTAGTGAGTGCTCGGAAAACATGATGTGCGTTATGTATGACATGACAATGCTTTACAATTAGAAGATGCTGTTACTACTTTTAAGATCCTTACTATCTGAATCCCTTATCTTGGACTCCTGTGAAAGACAGCTTGGAAAATCCAGAACTCTGCTCTCTGGATTGCTACTGTGGAGGGGGGGGTACGTGTGTGTATAATGTATGTGTTTATGTATGTTGGGGGTGGTGTGTGACAGGGAAGCCATGAGTGTGTGTGGGGGGTATGTGTATGTGTATATCTATGGGGGGGGTGTAAGTGTGCGTGTGTCGGGGAGGGTGTGTGCTTGTGGGGGTGATCGTGTGGCACGCGGTCAGCAAGTGTGTGTGGTGCATGTGTATGTATGTGGGGGTGTGGCATGAAGGCAGTGAGTTGTAGCGTGTGTATGAATATGGGGTGTGTGTGTGAGTACGTGTATGTCTGGGGGTGTGAGCTTGTGGGGGTGTATTGTGTGATATGGGGAGCAGTGAGTGTGTGATGTAGGGGTGGGATAGAGGCAAGCTGTCCATCTAGATGCTTCCTCTGCATCTACCCACCTCCAGCAAGTCATGTAATTTCTTTGAGTTGCAGCACGTCACCTGGGAAGTAGGAGTAAAGACCCTGATCCTCCTGAATCCCAGGGAATGGACCAGAATATCCCCATGTGAGGTCTTTCCCCTTAAGCTCTGACCCAACAGATTTATTCCTCTTGAAAGGGAGCAGTTTATGCTTAGACATGTGTAGGTGTCCTGTCCTCAAAGGTGCTTTGCCATAACTGCTGTTTGGAGAGAAGCGTGAGAGACCTGCATCCTCTAATTCAGCAGCACAGCCAGCCTTGCATGATCCCTACTGCCACCAGCTGGCCACACTCCATTCACAGGGGATGTTCTAAATTGGAAAGCAGACCCATCGCTGTTCGTTGGGACACTCCAGAGGCCGCCCGTAATCTTCAGTAACAAGTCCAAGCTGCTTAACTTGGTGACAGACAGGATTGCAGGTCTGGCCCTGGCACTCCTGCCAGCTTTACCTCTTGCCATCTGTCCAATGTCCTGTGGGCAAAACCACGGAAGCAGCCCTCACCCTGCCCTATCTCCACTGTTGCAAAATTGTGTCTCAATAGTTTACTCATCTAGACATTCTGCTCAATACACGTCCTCAAATATGACAACCTCTCGTCCTTCCAACAATCTTGTGTGGTGGGTGGAACAAATATTTCTATTTCTAATTTCATGGAGGTAAGTGGAAGCTTAGAGAAGTTAAACGACTTGCTCAAGGTCACAAAATCAAGAAATGACAAACTTGGATCAAAAATCCTGTTTTAGGTCTGGAGCTGTTGACAACTTTCCTTAAAATTTTATATTATAAAAGCAATGTATGCTCATAATAAGAATTTGCATATGACATAACACTATTATTTCGATTCAATTCAATACTGCAAATCTTATATGCTGATGACTATAAAGAAGATGAAGAGAGCCCTTGTCCTCTTGGGGTTTCCAGTCTACAAAGGAAGACAGAAATGAAACAATGATGATTCCAAGAGTGATTACAGTTCAAAATGGAGGTGCTACTTGAGCTTATGGCAAAGGAGTTTAATATCATCGAAGGGTCAAGGGAAACCTCTGCAAAGAAGAGAGAATGAGATAAAAATCATTCATCATCTTACTGCCCAGAAATAACAGCACTTGATTGGGGGCCATTTTCTCCAATCTTTTCACTTATACTTTCTTCAAATTCATTCCCTTGGACCCCAGGGCTTTACTCTGGAGGCTCTACAGAATGCTCTCCCTCCTGTTCTAGCATTTCACACCTCAGTGTGTCTTCTGGAACACTGCTTACATGTGCCATCAACATACAGCATTGAAAAGGGGTCTCTTGCCCAAGCAAGTGGAGAAATCACTGAGGTAGGGTTAGGTAAGCTCGTTAAGGGGCCTCTCAGAACTTCTCACACACTGATGAGCACTGGGAATCTTTGACCGGGGTTATAGTATTAATGTTCTATCTTCTAAACTGAGTGGCTTTGTTATTTTTAAGAGGCATCTTGAAGGTGAGCCTGGCATGCCTAGGAGGTCTAGAGCTCTTAACAGATTCTCACTACTTCAGAGTGTGAAACTTAGCCTATGTGTTAGGAGCACTCAGCATGTTGCAGACAGTGAGGACCGTCTTGGTTATCAGAGCCCAACTTTGAGCTCTAGGCCTTGTTTAGGGTGGGGGGACATGGGGCTTCCTTGTCCGCTGAGACAGTGCTATTCCCTCTTTCCCCCTCGCCCCCTCCAGTGTCCTGATGCAAACAGTGGACCTTAGAAGCTGCTTGGGGATGAACCCCAGTGCACATCTTGCATGGCAGGGCCTACTTTGGTTCTGCTTTGGCTCCCAAATCCCTTCCTCTTTGGGAAGGGACTAGTAATTTCTGAAAAATCAGAGAAAAACTAATGTTTCCGCTGCAGTAGTGACACCTGGTGGTCTGGACGGGGAACACACAGGACAACCATCTGCCTCCCACCCTCCTCTGCTCCATCTGGGGAGACATGCCCCTCCGGGAAGCTCAGGTCTCAGCAAGTCACTGATGTCAAGTCAACAAAATCTAACTTTTCTGACTCCCCAACCCCCAGCGATCCCATGGCTTGTCAACAGGCTGCCATCTTTTAACCAGGACCCTCACGATCCTTCCTGGATCCATCCTCACCCTTCACAACCTCCTCCCCTAAAGAGCCCCAGCCCCCAGAATCACCCACCTCTCCCCTCTCCTCACCCCCTCCCCCCCACACACATACACTTCCTTGATATCCAAATTTCTATTTCTTTGGTGCATGAGACTCAGTTTCCTGGGACACAGTTTGCAAAGCATGTGCAGAGCTGTCACATATGTCATCTCTCATCCTCTTCAGAGCCTTGGGGGAATGTGGTATGATCATCCCAGTTTTGTTCAAATGATGATACTAAGGTCAGAGAAGCTATGAGTGATTTACAGCTACAAAGTGGAAAAGTCAGGACCCAAATCCTTGTTCCTGATGCCAGATTCCCTGTTCTTTCCACTGCTAGCTAGTTTCCACTGAGTGTTCAAAGGAGCCAGTGCCTAAAGTTGGAAGTTCTGTCTTCAGATGCAGGAGGGCAGAAGAACTCTCCTCTCCCAATTATCCACGACTAAAATGTTTTAAAAGTCAGAAATGGGTTTGAACTGACCCACGAAGGAAGAAGACATTGACAGATTCTCTAAGGCTTCAAGGGGCTTCAAAGGCTTCAAAGGGCTGTGAGTACTCACCCTCCTCCCACAACACCATCCCACATGTCCCACCATACAAGGCTGTGATGTTATTAGCATCAACTGCATTCTTTTCTGTCACTCCAGCCCCACTTCTGACTAAGCAAATCTTAATTCAAGGCAGGAAAGATTTTACAAATTAAAGAAGCAATTCTCTTTAAGTCAGGGTCTCACTCTGTCGCCTAGGCCGGAGTGCAAGGGTGTGATTACGGCTCACCACAGCCTCGTCCTCCTGGGCTCAGGAACACCAAACCCAGCTAATTTTTTGGTTTTTGTTGTAGAGACAAGGTCTTGCTATGTTGCTCAGGGTAGTCTCGAACACCTGGGCTCAAGCAATCCTCCCACCTTAGTCTCTCAAAGTGCTGGTATTATAGGCCACTGCACCTGGCGAGATATTTAAGAAGTTGTTTTACCCCCAAACAAGTGAAAAGTGGAGTGATAAGCTCATGCTGACTGAGTGAACCCCCAGCATGTGAGTCCCTCCCGCTGGGCTCACTGGGGCCACCAGATCATCTTCTTCCTCTCGCATCTTACTTTCTCAGAAGAGCTGCCTTCCTTTTCTGCCCACACTGAACTGAGGGACCTCCCAGAAGCTAAATCCAATGCGCACCTTGCAGGCTTTGCCTTTCTCAATCTTCAGGAAACAAGGGGCCCAGGGACTCCACCAGGGTATTTCCACATCAACTGTCTCAGGGTAAGGACAGTAGGATCTTTATTTATACAGCTCTTTCTCCCCCAGTTTGTTTTCTGACCCAAAGGTCAAATACCAAACTTGTCTCCTGGCAACTGCAGCTGACCCACCACCTCCTCCCCTGGGATGTGGGACCCTCACAGAGACCTGAATTGGGTGGGGCCATAAAGGGTGGCATGTTTGGGGTGGTGGTGGGGGTCAGAGGAGTGGAGTCTTAGGGCCGACCTGAGGCCTCAAATGTATACTTTAGGATGTAATCAAAAATTAAAATCCCACTTTTGCACAGAGTAGTTATCAAGACATGCTTATTCAAGAGAACAGAGGCAGTTGGGTGCCGTGGCTCATGTCTGTAATTCCAGCACTCTGGGAGGCTGAGATGAGAGGATTGCTTGAGACTGGGAGTTCGAGACCAGCCTGGGAAACATAGTGAGGCCCCCCCCTGCTGCCACCCCCGCCCTGCCCACCACCATCTCTGTAAAAAAAAAAAAGCCAAGCATGCTGGCATGTGCCTGTCGTCCCAGCTACTCAGGAGGCTGAGGTGGAAGGATCCACTGAGCCCAGGAAGTTGAAGCTGAGGTAAGCAGTAATCGTGCCACTGCATTCCAGCCTGGGTGACAGAGTGAGACTCTGAGTCAGAGAGAGAGAGAGAATGAATGGAACTGAGGCATGGGGAACAAAGGAAACAAGTTAACATGTGTTATGGGCATCCACTAAATGCTTCACATGAACCATTATTATGAGAAACCCATGTTAGAGACAGAGCCCAAGCCCAAGATTTCCCAGTGGCAACTGCGGGGTGGCAGCCCCAACCAATCAGCTGCACCTTGACTGAGGAGGCCCTCCCCTGTGGCCCATTACCTGGCTGGGCCAGTGGCCGCTCCTGGTTGAGGATGTCGTAGCTCTTCCAGCTGTACTGCGGGGCTGGGGAGCCCTCCTGGGATTGGCAGGTCAGCTGAATGTTGTTCCCAATGATAGGCTCTCCCTGGATACTGCAGTCTGGCTTGGAGGGTGGCACTGTGTAGAGGAGGAACCAAAGGAAGGCATGGGTCAGGTGGGCTTGGTGACAGCTGCCTGCCACCCCAAACACGCCTAGTTTGTTCACAGGCAGAGAAATCGATAGCTTAGTGGTGAGATGTAATTCTATAAAGCAGCTCCCCCAAGCGTCTCATTAGAGACTGGGCCCCATCACAGAGGCAGACCTTCCGTGGGGCAGCGTGGGCTGGCGAACTTTACAAGGCATGGCTTCATTTTTTCTCCAATTTACTGTCATGGGATTTTAAAGACAGAGCAACACAGCCATTATGATGATGGGGATACTGAGGCCCAGAGAAGACACCCACTCATGGGTCCTGGCAGAGCTGGTTCTGGAACCTAGGTCTCCTAACTCCAGAGCCAGTGCTCACTCCACCAACCCACATGAACAGCTCTCTGACTCATCTGTGCCATTTTAGGGAAAGCCTCAATTCCCCTGAACCTCAGCGTGCCCATCTGTAAAAAGGGGAGACAACAGCCTCTCCTAATAAAGGACGGATGACAATATTTCAGGTCTTGCAGACCATACATTGTCTCTGTTGCTGCTGCCTTTTCTTTTTCTGACAACACTGGAGAAGTGTAAACACAGGCTGTGGGCTGGATTTAGCCCTTAGTCGCCTACTCCGGGGTTCACCGATCTCAGAAATCTTCAACTCTGACTTCCTAGGAATGTTCTCTTTGGGTTAAGCATTTTTCCCTTTCCGGGCTCTGCCGATCAAAGGCAGTTACCCTGAGTGGCTGGATGGCCGGAGGGACTATAGGCAGGAGTGGGGTCATGTGCTGGGTGGAGAATGGGGCTGAAGGCAGAGAAGGCAGAGGGGGCAGTGACAAGGAAGGGAAGCCCACTGACAGGAGGTTACAGACGCCAACAGGCCATCCTCCGCTCATCATACCAGCCAAACTGCCCTGCATTCCTGGAGTGCTTAAGTGTGTGTCTTTTCCTTGGCGTTGTTAACACACCATTGCGTACTGTGGTTCGTTCTACAGATGGTACGTCATAGACACCGACTGTGCGCCTGACAGTGCTGGGCCCCGTGATGACACAGCGAGTGAGTCAAGCAACCCAGAGGGGGCAGAAGATAAGTAACCAGACACTAACCAGGCGGGAGGCAGGCCTGCAGGGGCAGGGAAGGCCCCAACGTGGACCTGTTCACAGGATCTGCTGTGACTTGAAGGAGCGTGGGACTGAACAAGCCCAGGGGTGGAGGTGATGGTGGTCGTCAGAGAAGGTGAGGGGACTCCAGGCAGAGGGAACAGCATGCTCAAAGGCAAAGAGGCAGGACACGGCATGAAGAATGCAGGAGACTTCAGGGAGTGTCCTTGGGGACTAGAAGAGGGGTACACAGAGGATTCTTGCTGAATCCTTGGGTGGCATGCCTGTCCTCTCTGTGTCTTTCTTCTCATGTCCCTGTGGATGACTTGCATGCCCAGGGAACAGTGCTGCCCATTCTATAACCCAGGTGCACAGTGGGTCACTGTGCATCAGGAGTGCATTCCAAGCCCCCTCCCTGCCCACAGATTGCGAGAGAAGCTCTGAAGGACACACCTCTCTCCTCTAGCCCAGCAGCCTTGGGATTTCCTCTTGAAAACAAACAGGCTGCCATTGGATGTGTCTGATGTCTCCTCCTGCCACCATGAACTGGCCAGAGGGAAATTAGAGACACTGCCTTATTCAGACAGTTCCTAAACCAGAGAGGGCCACGGCGCAAGCCCAGGCCTCATCTGCCCTGGCCCAGACCCTGGGAGCAGCATGGGAAGGAGGAGGCTGCTGCCTGAGGACCACTCTGGTGGCCTAGCAAGCAGGTGCCCAGAGGCCCGAGAGAAGGTGAACACTGAACATTCCTCTCCATCTATCCAAACAGTTCACCCTTGTTCCCAAGAAAGTCTTTCTCAGGAAGCTAAGGCTTTCTTCCACAACTAAGGAACAGGCCGAAAACACCAACACCACCAGAAAAGTCCACATCTACCTGAAGTCATCCTAAGTGTGAATGGTAGATAGTAGAGTCATTCCAAGACCAGGTTATTTGGGATACAGGATAAAAAAGAAAGGAAAGCAACGGAGGCCCACTGGCATCGACAGAAGCATGAGAACGCATCCAAAGACTAACTGTGCTTAAACCACCACTTGCTAAGGAAAAGCTTGGAAAAGCAAGTCCTTCATTCTCTCCAGAGACAGAATTATAGAGATGATGGCACATAAGGGACCAGCCACTCCCAAAGAGGTCAGCTTTAAGGAGAAATGCCTCGGTTCTTCGTCCCCTGGCCCTTAACCTCAGCCCCAAACTCCCCTCCCACTTTGCCTCTTTCCAGGTACCCCCCCTGCCCTCTTTGTGTCAAGACCCCTCACTAAGATCTCGCTCCTCAGGCCCCACCATGGAAAACAGGCAGTCCTGGCTCAAAAAGTCCTTCCACACCTGTGGGGGCCGCGATATTTCTGGGGGGCCTGATGTCCCTTTCTCAGTTGACTCATCTCACCTCCCAGCCGAACGTAGGTGTTACCTGAACACTCACTGAGGGACAAGACACAGGGAGGGAGGGAGAAAGAGGGCACGAGTTGGACTCCAGGACCTCTCTGAAGCCTGCGACTCTCGCTCCGGACATCAGGGGACGCCAGAGGCCGGGAAGACCCTCATCCCGCTCCACCGTGCCGTCCCGAGTCCCAGGCTTGGTGCTCGCCCCGCCGCGACCCTGGAAGCTTCCATCTCGCCTCGGTTTACTATGAGGTCATCCACTAGTGCGCTGGCCCCATATAATTAAAGCTCTTCTGCCTAAACATAGCCCAGCTGCAGAGCCATTTGGAAAGATTTTTTTTTAAGTTTTTTACTTGATTTCTTAAGATGAGATGCTTCCTTTCTTTCTTTTTCCCTCCTTTCTCTCTTTTTTCCTTTCTTTCTTTTGTTCTTTCTTTCTTCCTTCTTTATCTCTTTCCTTTTTTAAAAAAAAAAAAAACAAATATTTGGTTTTACCAATTTCCATAATCTCAGATTCAACTTGTATCCTTCTGGCCCTGGAGGTGGGAGAAGGGCCAGCATTTGTCATTGGCGAGGGAAGGGTTGGGGGTGTCCAGCATTAATACTTTCATTACCTGAAGGAAATGAGAGCTATTTAAGGGACCTCCAATATATATACATGTGTGTATGGGGATGGTGCATATTATACTACTGTTTATACCCCCAAAAAAGGAAACAGCCTTACTAACCCCTGACCCCAGTGTGGAGCACTTGAATAAACTGAGGTACCTCCATGTGATGGAAGGTATGCTATTAGCAGGTGGATCTGAATGTGCTGATCTGGAGAAATGTGCATGATTGTTAAGAAAAAGCAAGTTGCAGAGGGATCTTTATAATGTGATCCCAACTTCTTAAAGAAAAGAAAGAAAATACACAAGAGTGTGTGCCTGTTGAAAGGACATGAAGAGGAGTCTGGAAGAACACCCACCTTCTTGCCACTGGCCAGCTCACTGGTGGTAGGTGGGAAGGAGAATTTGGTTATTCTTTAGACGTGATAGTTTGTAGCATCACACCATTCGACTCACTATAATGCTTTCAAAAAGTCCAGCAAACACTTTATGAATTAAAAATAAAATCCCATCAAATAATACAAAGGGGAAAGGGGGAAATGGTCCGTTCTTTTGGTTTAAAGTGTTGCTACCTACCAGAGGTGGCATTTTTTATACTGGATATGGTATTAATTAAATGAGCTATTTTCCAGTAACTGTTTGACTTTGAGTGAGTTGCGTCCTTTCTCTGGGCCTCATCTACAGAATAAGGATATTAAAGTCGATCTTTCTCAAACTATAAATTCGAACAGTGTCATTCCTACAAAAAGAATATTATCTTGGGACATATTTCAAAGGCAGTAGGACCTGTCTGGTGGTGTGTCTGTTGGGGCTGGGGTGAGAAGGGTGTCTGATGGAGATGTGGTGAGAAGGGTGTCTGTCGTCTGGGTAGCTGAAGTTATGACGGAGACAATGTCCCCCCTGTGGGAGAGTCGCGATGTGACCTTCAGAGCGCCAATTAAGGCACAATGACTCTTGAGAATAGAATTCAAGATTTTCTTTTTCCTTCTTTTTAATAAATATGGTATGAAAAAGAGAAGAGCTGGTGTGGAGAGAGGACACCAGACAGAGTAAGGGATCACTCCAAATCGGCTTCCTCCGTGGTTCTCTGGAACCATCTACTGTTGAATTCAGAAGAGTCTCCAGTTCTGAAGAGAGGACCAGCACCCTGGCCCTAGGTTGCCGATGAGAAGGAGTCTCAGTCCCTGTCTCCTTGCCACCTCTGGCTTCTCCCCCATGTGCTGCCATGGGCCCCTCCCTCTTCCTAGACTCATGAAAGAAGCAGACACACTCACCGAGGACCAGAAGGCGGATGCGTGACTTGGAGGTGCCGTATAGGTCTGACATCAGCGACACAAAGCACTCATAGGTGCCGTTGTCGTCCATGGTCACCTGGCTGATGGTGATGGAGGCGTCTGACTGCCCAGCATTGCCTGATATGTTGACACGGTTCTCATAAAGGCTACCATACATGGGTGTTTCGGTCAAAAAATTCCAGAGGACCACCTGTTCCTGGGAAGAAGAAAAAATGCCACTTAGTCTTCACCCTACAGTCCCAGCATGGTGCTTCCAGCTTGTCCTGATCGTCCTCATCCATTCCCTGGGCCCAGGAGCATAAATACACCAGCCCTCAGAAAATACATGTTACCTATATTTTTATACATAATATGGTACCATATATGTATATATAATATGATACCATATATTTATACATGCAAATCCACAGTCAGGTTTCATATATATCAAAGGTGCCTTTAAAATGTTTTTAAGAAAGGAAAAAACTGTATTAAAATTGTAATACCCGATATAGACCGATGGCAAAAGATGAATACAAGTCACATTTGACTTCTGCAGTTACACATTGGTACCATAATTCAGTTCAATTTCAAAAAGTAATACATAGATAGCATCCCTTAAAATGTACAAAATAGAATTCTTCGATTGATTCATATAGTCATCATTTATCAGACAGTATATGGTAGTGGCTACATCCACAGACTTCCAAGCCAGACTGTTTCCATTCAAATCCCAGTTCTACCATTTGCTGTTGTATGACCTTGAGCAAAACGCTTGACCTCTCTGTGACTGCATCTTCTCTTCTACAAAACAGAGATGATGACGATAACACCTGTCCCATAGGATTGCAGTGAGTATAAAGTAGATAATATATGCAAAGCCGCTAGGGCATTGCCTGACATGGTAGGTTTCTCTTAGTGCTAGCCACAGTGATTACTGAGCATCAACTCGGTGCCTGACATTCCAGGGTGAATAATTCACGAGTTCCACCCACAAGGAGTAATGAAAGTGATGGACAGCCAAACATTTCAACATCTTATGGTTAGCTATGAGATCCCAGAAGAAAGGTATCACTTCTAGACTGGGAGGTCAGAGGAGTCTTCTGAGAAGAGGTGACAGTTGCCTTGAATCCTGAAGAACAGCTAGCAGTTAGCCAGGCAAAGGGCTGACAAGATTGGGGCAGTGAGTGCTGAAGTAGGATCACTGTGTCAGGCATTTCAGGACAGAGGAGAACCACAGGGAAAGAGCTAGAAGTGGGAAGCCACGTATCGACCCCAAGTGGTTCAGTATGAACGGAGGTGAGTGTGTGAGGGCTTGGTGAGAGGGTGAGTCAGGGCAGGAAGCAATAAGGATCTCAGCTGCTACTTACTGAGTGTGTCCTGTGTGCTAGATACTAGTCTATGCACTTGGTGTATATCATCTCAATCTTCCCAACACTCTTGAACTGGATATTATGATTCTACTCATTTTACAATGGAGAAATCCAAGGCACCAAGCGGGTGTCCCCCGCAAGTTCACATGTTGAGATAAGTGCCAGACCTGAGATTCAAACTGGGCATTCTGACTCTGGAGATTCTGCACACCAGATCTCAGACACTGTGTATGTGGGGCTCGACAGTCTGCATTTTATCCTGAAGGGACTAGAGAGCTGTGTCTTTTAGCAAGTTAGCTCTCAATCCAGGGAAATGAATTGGAAGGAGACAGGGGACCAATTAAGAATCAGAGTAGGCCGGGTTCGGTGGCTCAGTCTGTAATCCCAGCGCTTTGGGAGGCCAAGGTGAGTGAATTGCCTGAGCCCGCGGGTTCGAGACCCACCTGGGCAACTTGGCGAGACCTCATCTCAACAAAAAATCAAAAAAATTAGCTGGGCGTGGTAGCGCGCGCCTGTAGTTCCAGCTACTCGGAAGGCTGAGGTGGAAGAATCGCCGGAGCCCAACAGGTTGAGGCTGCGGTGGCTGAGTGCGGCCACTGCACTCAGGCCTGGGCGACAGAGTGAGACTCCAATTCAAAAAAAAAAGAATCAGAGTAGCAACTTAGGCAAAAAACTATGGGTCCTCAGAAAAGGTTGTGGCAATGCAAACAAAAAGAATACTACAAGCATGAGCATAGCCATAAAAAAGAATGAAATCATGTCCTCTGCAGTAACATGGATGGAACTGGAGATCTTCATACTAAGTGAACTGACTCAGAAACAGAAAACCAAACATTGAATGTTCTCACTCATATGTAGGAGCCAAAAAGTCACAAATAATAGACACTGGGGAACCTGATAAGTGGGGATGGGGGAGTTTAGGGTTTAAAAACTACCTACGGGGTACAATGTTCACTATCTGGGTCACCTGAGACCCAATCCCCATCACTACACAGTATGTTCATGTACCCCCGAATCTAAAATTTAAAAAACAAAACTTTAAAAAGAAAAAAGAAATGAGCTTGAAAAGTGTGAAAGAGGTAGGACCAACGAGACCCGGAAATAGATTCAGCATTAGGAAATGGCAGACCACAAGGGTGAGCATTTTTTTGGCTTGGATGTTTGATGATGTCATATCCAAGAAAGGATCACATAGGAAGGATACATTTAGGAAAGAACAGTGTATCCTGCTTACACCCAGGGTGCTTGGAGTGTCAGTGGGACATGCAGGTGGAGGAGTCAGAAGGAGCCGGAGGGGTGGTCAGTTTAGTGCAACTAGGGATGAAGGTTTGGGGGTCAATGACGTGTAGATGTTCACTAAGACATGAGCTTGATGAGGCCACTCAAGGTGAGTGAATAGAGAAATGGCAAGTCCCCAAGTCACTTCATTCAAAGGGTCAAGGAGCAGTCAGAGCGATGAGAGGAAAAAACCAAGACAAGACTCCCAAAAAGCCAAGACGTGCGTGTGTGTGTGTGTGTGTGTGTGTGTGTGTGTGTGTGTGTGTGTGTGTGTGTACCCGGAGATTTACATACAAGGATGCTTATATTTATTGCAACATTTTTGTAGCAGCAAAATATAAGAAACAAACCAAATGTTCATCAACAGTACACACAGGACCTTCATGAAATGCTTTATGTAAATGTTTAGAAAATGAGATAAACGTAAATGTACTGACATATACAAAGGACCAAAAGATACATTGTTAAGGGAAAAAAAGTCAAGTGCAGAACAGTATGTGGGTAGTATATGTAAACATACATATCCATGCATACGTATATATGTGTAGGTAAGCACATGTCACTATTTGTATTTGCCTTGCCTGGGGGTCGGAGAGAGTGAGGGGACAGGGGAATGAGGGCGTGGGGACAGGATGGATGGGACAGGAGGGGCAGGAATGGCAATGAACCTTCTCAGTGTACACTTTTTATGATATTTTGGTTTTCAAACCATGGGATATTATCTATTTAAAAACAGAAACAGAAAATAAAACAAAGCTCCACACTCTCCAAAAGAATCCAAGCAGAGAGAGGAAAAAAAATTTCATAAAATAAAATTTGGCCTCAGAGGAAAAGTTGCGCTAATCAAAAAGAGTGACTGACTCGAATGGTATATAGTTCAGGTCTTTTGAGACTGGCCAACAGAAAGATATTTTAGGGCAGGTGACTTCTTCAAAATAACAGTGGCATAATCTGGCCCTCCCCGCCCACTCCAGCCTGGGTGCTAAGGTTTATTTTATGTAACATGTATTGAAAGACATTACAGTGCTTGCCTTCCCAGAGGTCATGGTCAGCTGATAAGCATTCCCATGATGACCCATACTTTTGAAGGGTCCTTACCGTATGACTCATAAGAAGTTTGTCCCATAGTATAAATCCATTCCGGTCAGGAGCAGAGGTTTGGTAGGTGCATGGAAGGGTGGCGCTCTTTCCCCGGGTAGCCTGAATAACTTCCTGTGGGGTTTTCACAGAGATGGCATCGACAGTCACCCACACTGGAAAGATAGTGGGACATGGGAGGGAAAAGTGAAGGACATGGACATACCCACTCATAGTTCACAGGACATGCCCAGGGACACCCTTGCTCCTCCAGCCACAGCCAGATATGCTACCACAGCAATCTTGGCCCTGGTCCAGCAGCTTCTCCTCCAAGACTACAGTGCAGACAAGCACAGGCATCTTGGTCCACCTTGATCCAACCCACAGCATCGCGACAAGCTGCCCTGAGTCTCAGCCCCACCTCTCACCAGCTATGACAACTTTCCTAAGCCGTAGTTTTCTCATTGGTAAAATAGGAGTCCTAATATTTCCCAGTGTTGTCTAGGAAACTAAAGGAGATACAATATGTAAATATTTTTCTCTTTATTTCTTTTCTTTCTTTTTTTTTTTTTTTTTTTTTGGCATCAGAGTCTCTGTCGCCCAGGCTAGAGTGCAGTGGCATACTCACGGCCATCACTGTCTCAGCCTCCTGAGACTTAGGCGATCCTTTCACCTCAGCTTTCCAAGTAGCTGGAACTATAGGCATGTGCCACCACTCCCAGCTAATTATTTTTATTTACTGTAGAGACAAGGTCTGGCCAAGTTGCCCAGGCTGGTCTCGAACCCCTGGGCTTGGGCAATCCTGTCACCTCCACCTCCCAAAGTGCTGGGATTACGGACACGACCCACCATGCCCAGTGATAGTTTTATTAGTGCCTGGCACAGAGAAAACTCTCGATAAACATTCTCCACCTTCTTTTTTGTCGTGATGATGATTTATTCACTTATTTAACAGATATGTATGGAATGCTTACATGTGGTAATAACTAAATCAAGGTAAAGAGTCAGGGGGTATTCCCAGGGGAGTTTACTTTGTGTAAGTTTATCAAACAAAGGTGAGAAAAGGCCACACCAGGGTCTCCCTCACACATTCTCTTGCCATGTGATGTTGACTCTCCTCCATCTGGAGCTGGGCCCGTGTTCCTTCTCTTTGAGTCTGGGTGGATTTATGACTACTACAGTGTAAATGATGCTATGTGGCTCTGAGACTAACTCAGAAAAGAGGCCATGTCCTTCCACTGGCCCTCTTGAGAAGCTCACCCTGGGAACCCATGAGGAAACTCAGTAACCCCATGGAAAGGCCAAGTGTAGGTGTTGGGACACCAACTGAGGCCCTTCGGGATAGTCAACTTCACCTCACAGCCACAGGAGTGAGCAAACCTAGCCACCTAGTTGCTCCAGCCAACGCCAAGGGGTATAGCCAAGGGGTGTAGCGCCAGCTAGCCCTGTAGAACCCTGCCCAAAAGGAAGACTTACGAGTAAAATCTTGTTATTGGTCTAAGCTGCTAGGTTTAGGGGTGGTTTATTATGCAAAATAAATGATTAGCACAGAGAGCCATGTGGATACCGGTGGTGAGAGTGAGCTTGCTCCTCGTGCAAGGAATAGTTAGGAAACCAGCGCAGTGGGAGGAAAGCCAGTGAGGAGAGGGAAGGTGGAGAAGGAGGGGGTCTCGAATGGCATGGAGCATTGCAGGCCCTATTTAGGACTTTGTATTTTGTATTTTACTCTGAATGAGGTGGGAAGCCCTTGGAGGAATTTAAGCAGAGGCGATATGTTGGATAAACATTTTAAAAATAGCATTCTGGCTAATGTGAGGTGAATAGATGGGGGGGCAGGGATAGAAAACAAGAGAGGAAGCAGGAAAACCATGCAAGAGTTTTGGGTGGGTCTTTTTTTTTTTTGCGGTTTTTGTTTTTTGTCAGGGTCTCACTCTCATACCCAGGTTGGAATGCAGTGATGCCATCACAGCTCACTACTGCCTCGACTTCCTGGTCTCAGGTGATCCTTCCACCTCAGTTCCCCAATTAACTGGGGTTATAGGCATGCGCCCTCACACCAGGCTAATTTTTTTTATTCTTTGTAGAGTCAAGGTCTCACTTTGTCCTCCAAGCTAGTCTCGAACTCCTGGACTCAAGCAATCCTCCCAACTCACCGCCCCCCAATTGCTGAGATTACAGGCATGAGCCACTACACCAGGCCACAAAAGTTGATTCCATAGTCCAGACGGTGACTGACACAGTGATGGTGGTGGAGGTGGTGAGAAGTGATCCAGGGAATGTACCTAGAAAACAGAGCCAATGGGACGTGACTATGGGTTCAATTTGGCATGTCAGAAGAAAAGAGGAGGCCAGGATAGAGACAAGGATTGGGCATGAGCAACTAGGAGGATGGAACTGGTGCTTACTGAGATGACAAAGGCTGAGGGAGGAACAGGTTTCGGGTGCTCACTATGGACATGTGAAGTTTGAGGTACTCAGGAGACACCCACATGGAAATCATGAGGAGGCAGCTTTGTAAGTCTGAAGTCCCACTGACAAGGGTGGAATGGACATACATCTTGGGAAGTCATCCGTTCACCATCATTTAAGGTCAGAGGATGTCAAGGATCACTAAGGAACACATGAGGATAGGGAAGGTATCTGGTAGGAGCCCTGGGGCTCTCCAGGGCTTAGTGATGGGAAATGAGGAGGAATCAGCAAGGGAGGAGAAGGAGAATTGGCCAGGAGATAAGAAGAGAACCAAGAGAAAGTGCTTCCCGGAGGCCAAGAAGGAAGAGGCGTTTGCGAACGCCAAAGAGGTGACTGCTCAAAGGCTGCCAACCCACTGGGCCAAGGAACTGAAGACTGAGAGATGGCCGCTGGGTGTGGCAACCTGGAGGTGACCTGGGCATGTGCAGGCACAGTGGAGCAGTGGGGATGGAGCCTGAGGGGAGCAGGTTCAAGAGCGATGGACTGACAACAAGTAGCCAGAAAGCAGCAACTGCAGGGCCAGGAGACGTTCGTGCCTCTTTTTTTCTCAAAATATGTGTAGGATGATTTTAAAAATATTTTTGACACTGTGTTTGTTAATGATGAGAATGAACCAAGAGAATGGGGACGGAAACAATTTCCTTGTAGGGCAAATGGGCTAACAGTAGGGTATCCAGGGAGGATGGGCCTTAGGAAGCAGGATGCGGCTAAAGATGCAGGTGGTTGTGGAGTTGGTGGTAGAAGGCAAGCAGGCTCTGAGTGTTCCTATAAGGAAGCCTCAGTATCAAGTCGGACAGAGTCCTGCTAAAGACCACCCAGCTGGGAAGACCCCACCCACTATTCAATCAAATTCCAGTTGGATTAACACACTTCTCTTTTAAAATGCAAATTGCTCCTGGGAAGAGTTAAAGCAAGACGGGGCTGGGTGGCTCAGCCTGTCATTACAGCACTTTGGGAGGCCATGGTGAGTGAACTGCCTGAGCCCGTAGGTTCAAGACCAGCCCAGGCAACTTGGCAAGACCTCATCTCTGCAATAAATAGCTGGCTACTTGGAAGGCTGAGGCAGGATCACTGGAGCCCAGCAGGCTGACGCTGGGGTGGCCATGAGCGTGACATTCCAGCCTGAGCAATGGAATGAGACTCCTCAAAAAAAAAAAAAAAAAAAAGTTAAAGAGCTTGGTGGTTGACACTTTAGAATGCAGTCGTTCATGAAGTGAAAATCAGCTGCCCTTCCAGAATAAGCACTGTGCAGAGGGGACCACAGCTGCGGCGGGAACAGTTTGTAAAGTCAAGAGAGTATCAAACACCAGGGACAAGCAGAGCAGAAAGTGTCCAAAGCCAGCTTTCCCTTCTTGGGCATTTGTATGCTTTCCTGGTGGTGACCCGGTGTCAGGAGCCCTGAGAACGGGTTCACATGCTGACTTCCCGACTCGTGGCCGCTGCTCCAGAGATGCCTCCACCGTGGCAAAGACCAAATGGCCCTCAGAGTTCCCTGTCTATGTATCTTTCCACCACGTCCATGTATCAGAAAATATTCATGCTCGTTGCTCACGGGTTGCCCTTCATCAGAGGGCTGTTGGCACAAACAGGGCCTCGGCGCCATTGGCTAGGCTCCACCCGCGGCTCTCCTTGCGCTGCAGACAGCCCGCCTAGATATCAGTCTTATCTGGCTGGTGGTAGTCATGGCAACTCCACCGAGCTGGGCCTCATCCTTTCCATTCTTGCCTGGACCAGGACATTTCCCAGGAGCCCTGTCCTCCGAGTGACCACTCTCAGGCCTCCCCATGACCTGCATAATGATTTCCTTCTTGCCTGGCAGAGCCTGGGTGGCCTGTGCACTGTGGGTCCCCCACACGTGGCACATTCTATCTGAGGGTGGTAATTCTCACTATCAAGCCAAAGAGAACCAACCTGCCAAGTTATTCCTTAGACAAGTGAGTGTCTCCCTACCTGCTCCCTCAAGATTAAAGGGATCGTAAGCCTGACCAGTCAAAGGATAGAAAATGAATCACAAGTTGAGTCAGTAATTCTCAATTCCTGTTAGTCCTATGCTATCTTAATTACAACCTGATGTTACAAGAGCCACGTAGGTACTTTACCGGTATTTTCTCGTTTTCATATTCCCCTTAATTTGTATTAACCCATTTTACAGATGACAAAATTGAGGTTCAGGGAAGTTTAACAATGTGCTCTTTCTGTGATATAATAGGTGATGGCTAGCAAGTCCACCCGACAGAGGCAGCAGCCCTAGTGAGGGTGAAGAGCTGCTGTCCCACAGTCAGGGCAAAGAGCTAATTTTTGCCTGCAGGGCTGGACGGCGGGGTGGGGGGGGCGTTTGTCCTGGTTGCCAATGGGATCCATTTCCTTTATTGTTCTTCTACCAAATCATGTCCCTTGCTTCCATCACAGAAACCCTTACATGCCTTCTTCAGTCCACCTTCAAGTGTTTAATATCTGGCTATTGTATATAAAAAACAGCTCTCTGCTCTGTCCTGAGAGACAAGACGAATGTCCACAAAGCAATACCCTGGCAGAGTTTGTGGACATAGACTGGACTCAACACACACTTAAGTCTCTTCACTGAACTCGAAGTACAATATTTGCTCACAGAAGAGAAATCAGCATGACCTTTATGGGGAAAAGAACTAGGACTGGCAACTGCGTAGAAACACCACCCACTGTTGCCAGCACTTCACAGTTCTTGGGGGTCGCATCCTTTGAGAAGTGAGCCTGGGCCACATGGAGCAGGTGGAACTGATTGGGTTCACAGAGCCACTGAGCGTCCCCTCCCAGGAGGGCAATGCACTCCCATCAACCACGTCAACCACCTGTTCCCTTTCTCCCTTTCTCCTACTTCCAAAATGTCCCTTCAAAATGTCCACACTGTTCTGTACATACGGCACAACTTCTCCATCTCAGCT